ATTCATAAAGGGGACGCTGGACCTGGTTTTCAGCTTGCAAACAATAGCCTGGACCCAATTTCCAGCAGGTGCACCTCCCCACCAATAGATAGGATCCACCCCTCCCCTCCCCTCCCCCCTCTCTACACGTTCAAGTGTATCTTTTTCTCTCGTGTCTCTCCTGCAGCATTCATAAAGGGGACGCTGGACCTGGTTTTCAGCTTGCAAACAATAGCCTGGACCCAATTTCCAGCAGGTGCAGCTCCCCACCAATAGATAGGATCCATCGTACAAGCTTGGCCTCATTTTTTATTTTCATATATTTTTTATTTTTTTAATTTGGACCATTTCTCGATTTATGCGTGTCATCCTTGAAAGCGCGGGGGCCATTTTGCTAGTTACCGTTCTCTGTATCGTTCCAATTTTAACGGATGTCCCTAAGGACGTTGGCCTCATTTTTCGAGATACTCGAGCTTGTAGGTTTCCCCCTGATGCTCCAAAAAAAAAAAAAAAAAAAAAAAAAAAAAAAATCGACAACTTGAAAGTAACTGGAAACTTCATCCAACAAGTGCTAGCCGAAGAGTGGCAATGGGCGAGTCCTCAACCAAGTCAGCCCAGAACGCAGACAAATGGAGGGCGGATCCAAGAAGTGACCGCGGACAACACTACCACACATGGGGAGAATTAGAATTGGTACATGGAATGTGAAGGGCCTTGGGGATACAGGAGGCAGGCAGAAAGGTCGACGCCTGAAACAGTGGATTCATGACAGGAATTTAGACATTGCTCTAGTACAAGAAACGAAATTGTCGGAGGCAAAGTTAGCACAACTAACGGACTGGTGGGACGGACCACAGCTCTGGTCGCCAGCAAGGGGATCGAAGGGGGGGACAGCCATCCTAGTACACAGAAGGATAGAGGCAGAGTTCCTAGACTACGATGCAGATCTATGGGGGAGATGGGTTTGGCTGAAACTACGTATTGAAGGCATAGTGTTGGTTGTAGCTACAGTGTATGCCCCAAACGAACCAAATGACAGATTACAGTTCGTTAGGGCACTACCGTATTGCTTACCAAGAACGGAGCACATGGTTATAGGCGGAGACTGGAATCTTGTGAGCAGTCCTGGGCTGGATTCAGAAGCAGTAGACTCTATGCGAAGAGACAGAGAAGCTTTTTTACAATGGAAGGAAGCATGGGGCCTGGTGGATATTTTCAGAGTGTTGCACCCAAGGGAACCAGGATTCACATGGTTTGCCAGTACGGCATCAGCAGCAGGTGCAAAGAGGAGACTTGATTTCCTTCTGACAACAGGAGCCTGTACACAGAACACTCAGACAGTTAGTGAGAGTAACGCGGGCATGTCGGACCACAAGCCTGTGATCATGGAGATGAACTGGTCGCAAGGGAATCGGAGAGGCCCAGGGCATTTCAGACTGAACATAGCCAATCTGGAGGACGCAGGATGGATAGACTGGACGGAGAAACACTGGTATACATGGCAACAGACCAGGGCACACTTCGACTCCTTCGAGGATTGGATGGATGCGGGGCTCAGAATTATCTCTCACAAGTACGAAATTTTCTCAGGTATCGCGGCCTACAGGAGCAACAAGGAAGAGAGGTCAATGCTCAAAAGGATTGAAGAAGCAGAGGCTAATATGCAGGGGCATCCGATCTCGGAGTTGGCATGGGCAGAAGAGAGGACGCAGAGAATGGGAGAATGGGAGCAACTGCAGATAGAGAAACATGCAAGGTGGGACATGATTCAGAGGGAGAAGGGAATAGTGGCAAGCGACAGAATGTCAAAGCAATGCTTTCAAAAACTTCTACCGAAGCGTAATCTGACTCCCATGAGGGAACTGCATCACCCTCATCTCCTAGGGATGGAATTGGCACAGTCAAATGAAGCTATGTGTGAGTATGCGGCGACATACTTTAAAGACATCTTGGCCACAAGGAAGTCCTTTTGGGACTGGGAAACGGACCTGACGAAGGGGAGCAGTTTCTGGGACACCTTTACGCCACGGATCACTGAGGAGGGGAGGAGAGACATGGACAGGCCGGTTACGGCTGAGGAGCTCAGAGAAACGGTTAAGAGTATGGCTGCAGGGAAGGCCCCAGGCGATGATGGCCTTCCAGTAGAGTTCTATAAGGCTTGCTGGAAGACTCTTGAAAAGGATCTGCTGCAACTGTACAACGGCATCTTAACTGGTCAACAACTGGGGAAGACAATGACAAAGGGCATTATCACGCTGTTATACAAAAAAGGGGACCGATCGGAGGTGCGGAACCGGCGGCCTATCTCACTCTTAAACGTGGTGTATAAGATTCTGGCAAAGGCATTAGCAAGGAGGTTAGGAAGATACCTACCGGCTCTAGTGGGATGGGACCAGGGCGCCTTCGTGCAAGGCCGCTCTATCTTCGATAACATTTTGACGGCCGTAGAGGCGTTAGAGGTTATTGAGGAAGAGAACACGAATGTCTCAGTACTCATGATCGACCTTGAAAAGGCCTATGATCGCGTGAACTGGACATTCGTGATGACCACACTAAGAGTCATAGGTTTTGGGGAACCATTCTGTGGTTGGGTGAAAGCTTTGTATGCGTACGCGACAACAGTGGTTCAGATTAATGGAACCTGTTCACAAGAATTTAAGTTGAGCAGGTCCCTGCGGCAAGGGTGTCCACCTCTGTTGTTTGTCCTACAGCTGGAAGTATGTGCGCGATAAGAGTTAACCCCAGGATACAAGGCTTGCAGATCTCACAGGAAAGAGACTGTAAAGTCAAAGCCTTAGCTGATGACTTGCTAGCATTCTCTGAGAACTCAACAGACTCATTAGAGGAACTGAGGAAGTGTTTGCAAATATACGAGGAGTTGTCGGAAGCTGCTATTAATTGGAATAAATCGTCCTTTTTTCTCCCCAAAGAATTTGAATTCCAGGCCAGGTGGGGGATGAAAAGGATCCAGGTCAACAGTGCAGAGAGATTTTTGGGGGTCTTAGTTTCTTTGGAGGACTGCTCTTCAGCACAGGAGTTGTTATTGCAGGAGAGGGTGATTACCAAAATTCGCAGCTGGGGCTGTGCACCCCACCTATCTCTAGTAGGAAGAGCCTTGGTTGTAACAGTGTCAGCGTTCTCCTTATTGTGGTTCGTGCTCAGAATGTGCAAGCTGTCAGACACAACGCTGAAGAAGATCAAAGCAGCGGCAAGGAGGTTTATTTGGAAGCCACAGGCGGATGAAAACCAGGGATACATCTCTAAAGTGGCGTGGGAAACCCTATGCAAGCCAAGAGACGAAGGGGGCTTGGGGATAACCGACCCCAACTCCCAGAACCTGGCACTACTCTCCAGTTGGCTGCTGAAGGTCGCTGAAATGCCAGAACCACCAGACTGGTGTTTGCTGGCAGAAAAGATCCTGCTGCAGGAATGGGGGCTGTCTAGAACTTCGGATGTCTGGGTAGCAATCATGATGGACTCCTTCGTGAATAAAAGAATTAAGTCCAAATTCTGGAGTAGCATGCTGTCAGCATGGAAGAAGGTAAAACCAGACATATTCGTAGAACCGAAATCCAAAGATGAGGTTAAGAGGCAGCCGCTGTTTGATAACCCCCATATCAAGAGTGTGGACAACAGGCCCTTTTTGGCGACAGCCGCTCCAGGTAACTTCGGGATGAAATGGACCCAGAGAGGTGTTTCTCAAATCGGAGATCTGTGGGACGACCTCACCGGTCAATGGTATCCGCACAGTCACTTGAGAGGGAAGCTGAGGCAACTACCACAGCAGGAAGAGAGACTGAGGGCGCTAATTGCTGCCATTCCGAACAGTTGGAAAATGCTGCTGGGCCCACAGGGTGTAAACCCAACGGACACTTGGTTCAAATCAACAGCAGAGGAGGAAGGTGCTTGCTTTTATAGGTTAAGTAGTTGGCAAGATGATGAATCGGGGAAATGTGAATTAGAGGAGTATAGAAGAGCTACAGAGCATGGCGATATCTTGGCTTTATATCAGACTATATCGAGATGGGGTTCGCAGGGCTTAGAGGAAATTCGTGTTCGGGCGGTGAGATTGCAGGGAAGGGGTGAGCCCTCAGTTTACAAGTTGATAGCCGGGGGTCTAGCGAAGAGACTGCTCAAAATCGATCCATTGGAATGGGGCTGGCAGGTCGGAACAGAGAGTATCCTGGATCTCTCAAACCTGTCTGGGGATCTAGTGTCCACCAAGATGACAAAAGGAGAAGATCTGAAGACGAAAGTGATAAATCGATGGGAGACAGCACAACCCTGTATACAACAACCGTCGGAGAGGGAACTGAAGAGACTTTGGGAACAGCTGGCCAAGATCCCCTCTCAGAGACTCGCATCTCTCCTGTGGCTACAGTCGCAACTATCGGTTCCTACATCAAAGTGGCTGAGCAACAGGGGAATGGAAGGAAGGTTAGAATGTGACAGGTGTAGCTGGCCAGTCGAAATTATGACCCACTTATGGTGGGCCTGCCCCCGCTCACAGAAATGGTGGACCTGGTGGTTCAGGCACTGGGCTAAACTGTCTGGAACGAGCTATGCACAGGATGAGCGGTGGGTATTACTAGGAACTCTCCCTGAAGGTATCTCCAGCAGTAAAGGTTGGGGGTACATTGCTCAAGTTTGCAGAGTGGCGTTAATGTGGGTAATATGGATGGACAGAAACGGAAGAAGGTTCCAGGGGCAGGGACTGCAAGAGAAACAGGCGGAGAGGATGTTTAGAACGACCCTGAAGTTGGAGATTAGAGCAGACTGGAGGAGAAAAGTGCTGAAGGGGAGCTACGAATCAGGGAGGTTGTGGTTTGCAGAAACATGGGCGAGACCGGGAGGACTAGCTACGATAACGGATAGGAAGCTTAAGACTTCGCCGTGGCTCGATTAGGAATAGGGGTAGGATGTAGAAAGAACCAGGTGCACTTGGTTCCTGTGGGCGGCCACTGTAGACCGCGAAGGGTAGGGAGGGGGGAGAGTGCCAGGTTACTATAGAAGGAACTGAGGTTCCTCTAGGCCGGTAATAGGCCGAGTAATATCTTCAGACCGAAAGATAGGTCTGAATATAGATATACGTAGATAGGATAGGCAATGCTAGAAGTAGAAGTACAACTGGAGGATATTCCCGAGGTTTTAGGGTCGGTAAAAAAGGGTAGAATTTATGATAGCAGGTAATTTTGGTGGTCCGAACGGTAGAAGTAGCTCTTGAATATGAAGAGAATGTTTTGACGGTGCTTGTATTCGGGGGAAGAAGGTAGCTCCGGATAGGGCGACAATGGAGTGGATTTCCGACTACTCTTCTTTTTTTTTTCTTTTTTTTTTTCGACTACTCTTCTTTTTGGGGAGAAGCGGCATTTTTTTTCCGGCAGAAAGTGGCCCGGGGTCACTTGCCCGGCCGGGCCAGAAACATAAAATATACTACCAGGCTCTTCTTCGGTTATGGTAGAAAATAATTTTGCTTCTCCTGTGCTGCTTTACTCTTCCCCATGGTTGGGGTATTTCGTTTTGCGGACCTACAGTATGGTTCCGTTTTTTAACTATGTATATCGCAGATTTTGTTCTGGTTATCGTTTTGGTATCCCGGATGGTTTTGTCCTGTTGTTCGGTCTATTGGCCTGGTAGCGTAGCGGTGCTTTCATGTGGGACTAATCATCCGGGTTCTGGTTTGTTATGGATATGGTTTTTTTTTTTTTTTGGTTGTCACGCTGTGGATCGGGCGCGGGAAGATTAGCATGACCCCTGCGCAAGG